AATATGAAAGCATAAAACAATAAGAAATAGCTAATAAAAAGTTTGGAAAAATATTTGAACCAAACAGGATCATCATTTATCCTAAATGAATAGTTCATACAAGTTAATAGCACCTACATAAGATCATAATAAATATGTGAATGACATGACTAGAGAGTTCACATTGTGTGAGGAAGTAAATATGGACAGATTTTTTCCATCTTATTTGTAATCAAGTGTGAATTAAATGAGGTACCAGTTTACCTCATTACCTATCAAAGTGGAAAATATGTTACTGATGAACATTTCTAACAAGATTGTGTTGGAACCTAATACCCTCATAAAATGCCGGTCACACCCTAAGTTAATATTACTGTAAAAACATTTGTCTTGGGGCTGGGGTTGTGGCTCAGAGGTATAGCACTCGCCTACCATTCGAGAGGCACCACGTTTAATCCTCGGCACCACATAAAAATATTGTGTCCACCTATGACTAAAAATGAATATTTTTTAAAAAAATTTGTCTCAACCAATGAAAATTTTCATAACCTTTGACCTATACAAGGACATTTTTATATTATGAAAAGAGTCTGAAATAAAGAGGTCATAAGTGCAATTATTCTAGTTAAAAATATTAGAAACAGGCCAGGTGTAGTGGTGCACATCTGTAATCCCAGCAGCTAGGGAGGAGGCAGGAGGATCGAGAGTTCAAAGCCAGCCTCAGCAAAAGTGAGGCACTAAGCAACTCAGTGAGACCCTGTCTCTTAATAAAATACAAAATAGGGCTGGGGATGTGGCTCAGTAGTCGAGTGTCCCTGAGTTCAATCCCTGGTACCCCCCTCCCAATATTAGAAACAACCTCTATATTCAAATTTAAGGGTTTTGAAAATTAAGCAACATAGAAAAATGAGGATTTATATAGCATTGAGAATAACAGACCACAAAACTATATACATTGTGAAAAAATATATGTGGAGAATATCTGATGTAATATGAAAAAAAATCCAAGAACAATGGGATTATACACAAATTCTTTACTTTTGAAAATGTCAGGGCTGGGGGGCTAGGGCTCAGTAGTAGTGCACTTGCCTGGCATGTGTGAGGCACTGGGTTTGATTCTCAGCATTGCATATAAATAAATAAAATAAAGATCTATCAACAACTAAAAGAATGTTAAAAAAAAAAATCAGGGCTGGGGTTGTGGCTCAATGGTGGAGCACTTGCCTAGCATTTGTGAGGCACTGGATTCGATCCTCAGCACCACATAAAAATAAATTAATTAATAAAATAAAGGTATTGTGCCATCTACAACTAAATATATATATATATATATATWTWTWTTTTTTTTTTTTTTTTTTTTTTTTTTTTAATAAAAGAAAATGTCCTTCCCTGGCTGGAAAGAAATTCACCAACATGTGAAGTACAGTTAGTTGTGCTGAGGTACCAAGTCTGGGATGACTTTCCTTCTCTGTTCCGTAACGTGGTTATATGGCTTTTGAGATGAAAGAGGCAAAATTCAAATATTTTCTAAAAGGTTAGGTTTATTTGTACGTAAAATAATATGGGTGGGAAATTGTAAGAGCTTAACTATTGCCTTGACCGGGCAGAGGTAAACCTCCTGAAAGCCATTATGACCAAAGCATTGGATATTTATTCATCTAAGTGTTGCCTCTGTTCTCAGGCTTGTGCCAATCACAGTGATGGATGGGGAGAAGTTCCTCTCACCTCAAAGACATTATAATCCCATGGGCAGGACAAGACCGACCCACACAGCAATGGGATACGTGGCTCCAGTTATGCACAGAGCAGAAGGCCGGTGAGCGGCAGGGGCCAGAGAAGCCTCCTGCAGGAGGACGGAGGAAGGACAGACAATTTGGGCTTAGCCTCAGAATGGCTGGGATTCTCAGCCAGGAGAAATGAGTGTTTCTATTGGTTGACTTGAGGAGTCCTCCCCAGGAGCAGAAGAGAAAGCAGTGTCGCAGAGTTAGCCTGGGTCACTGAAACCACCCTGGGCACCCCAGGAGGCCAGGCCCAGGGCAGTGAACCTGCCTCTGGCCTTCATTGCTTTCTCCCACCCAGACAGAGTTCAGTAAGGCCCACCCGCCCAGGCCCCCAGCACAGAAGATTCAACATAGGCTCTTGGCCACAGACTTGCTTGGGTATGAGACCACAGCCCAGGAAGCAAGAATCTCTGTGTTTTTAAAATAAACAACCTACTTCTACTTCCCCTCAACCCCCTGCCTATATTCCCCTCTTGGGTCGCTCACCCACTGTTCTTTTTCACCTGGTGGTTTCTTCGCTGTTCATCTCTCGCTTTCAGGATCACTCATACTCTCTGAGCCCCAGACTGAGACGTGCCCATGGAAAGTGAATTCCAGCAGCACTGGGCCTCCCCCTGATTATCGGGGTTCCTCTGTGCTGGCTTTCCAGGGAAGGAGGCTGCAGCCCCCTTAGACCACCCAGGATGTGGGCACTGCTCACCAGACATGTGATCAAACATTAGAAAAACTGTTCTGAATCTCCAGCAAGCTCCTCAGCCTTCTTCCCCTCACGGGGAGAGGGAGGGTGTTCCCAGGAAACCCAAGCTTGGAAGTGGCAATGCCCATGGAGGGACAGACCTGTAAGCCATTTACTCATTCCTTGGCCTCTTCTGTTGCCTGACTTCTCCCGTTTGTAACTGGTGTGGGAGAAAAAAAAATCTTCACACAAACAGCCTAGAAGCATGCCCACCCCTCCATGGACTCTGGAACCATTTTCTAACTCCCTGCTGGGAATCTCCATATACCAGCAGGACTTTGACCTAGGGTGGCCATATGTCCCTGTTTGCCAAGAACGGTCCTGGTTTATGACCAAGCTAATTATGATAGTACCTCTTTCACTCTCAGAAACATCTTGTTTTGGATAGTTAAATCTATTTCATCAGGCCACCTCAAATCCACATGGAGCTGGGCACAGTGGCACATGCCTGTAATCACAAGGGCTCTGGAGGCTGGGACAAGAGGATTGCAAGTTCAACGCCAGCCTCAGCAACTTAGCAAGGCCCTAAGCAACTTAGCAAGACCCTATCTCTAAATAAAATATATAAAGGGCTGGGGATGTGGTCCAGTGTTAAGTGCCCCTGCATTCAATCCCCAGTACCCCCTCCCCCCAAAAAAAACCCACATAACCCTGAACACATTACAGACATGCTCCTCCTCTGTGTTTTTGACTTCAGTTAAGGGGACAACATCCACACAATCCTCCAGCAGAGGAATCTCAGGCCTATCTTAGTTCCTCTCTGTGGACACCTATGATGTTACAACTCTCTCGAATGGTTCCCCTCCTTTCTGCCCCGTCACTAACCTATTTCAGACACAATTAAAACAGCCTCTTTGGCCATCTCCCTGGCTTGGGGCTCCCTCCTCTCCAACCCACAGTTCTGCCAGTGATCTTTTCAAAACACACTGAGATCTGGGGGCGCTCCACCACCTACAGAATGACATCCAAACCCCTTCATGATCTGGCCCCAGTGACCTTGTCTTCTTCATCCCCTGCCACCCTCCTCCTTTCTGGGCTCCGGTCACACTTAGACTTGTGTCACAGCTTGTGCCATGAAAAGTTCATGTTCCTGCTTGCCTCAAAATGCTTGTTCCTTTTACTCCCTCTGTCTAGTCTGGCCTTTCCTCTCTTTTCTGTTGCTATTTTTGGCCGTCATTCCTAGAACTGACCTCACGTTTTGTCTCCCAGGAAGCCTTTTCCGGTTTTCTCCTCCCACCATAAGTAACTGCTCTAAGTGGATTGTTTTTAACATGTACTACAGTTTGCTGGCAGTCTGGCCACTGCCCAAGGGTCTGCCCTGCCTCAGCAATGACTCTGTAAAGTTATGAGTGGCATTGTGACACTACTGCTACTTCACTGTTAATGGGATGGACTCAAATAAAACTGATAATCCACTTTGAAATTTTTAACACCAGGTTGATCACTACATAAGTCACTCATTGCAGGTGACAGTGGGAGTGACTCTGGGAGGATACACCATGGCAAGAGTTTCAACACAGCATCTTGAGGGAGGGATGTCTGTTTAGAGGAATTCAGGTGTCACGAATACACCCTCCTTAAGAAGGAACGTGCTCCAATCAGGGTCAGACTTTATGCCCACCCTTCTCCATGAATCCTTCCCTCTCTCAGCCCAGAAGGGATCTTGTTCCCTCCAAGCTCCCATCTCATAATTTAGGACAACAAATCTGATATTTTGTTAGTTGCCACCTGGGGTCATCTTTTGCACTGAAATTATAGTGTTGACTTAATAGGTGGATTTTACAGAATGGAGGAATGTGGGGAAAAGCTAGATTTGAATACCAGGCTCTGTCCCTTTTTCCTCTGTGGCTTAATACCCTTCTACATGGCTCCATGATGATTGGATTTGGACAGAAAAGCCACCAGAGTTAAGACACTTAGCCCTCCCTCTCAGCAGGCTTACAATAGTCCAAAAACTCTGCTGGAGCTGTTCAGGAGCTAGACCCCCAAGGACAAGCTCCCGGTTCCTCCAGATCCACTGTGTACCCAATAGCAGGGACCCCTTTTTTAGAAAACAGGTGAATGAGAGGGGGCTATAAAAGCCACATCCCAGGTTCTGTCTCTTCACCTCTAGATGCAAAATAACAGCAAGGGGAGGCAGGATGGAGGAACCAGAACAGATGAAGATTCCAATGTACTTACCACCTCTTGCAAACTGACATTAGACCCTCCTCATCAGACAAGTACCCTGATTTAACAAACTGAGTGATTAATAGAGGAAGCGATGGGCCACCTCACCCTGGGAGGCCGCACAGGTCTCCCAGTCCTGAGGACTTTTCCTTGTAGAGCCAGCTATGGAGCCCCCTCTGTCCTCCTCTGCCCTTCCCCAACTCAGAGGCCATCATCTGTACCACAGGAGCCTGCCCCTCCCTGCCCACACCCTCCCTCCCCACCTTCCTGCCCACCCATTCGCCTCACCYCCATCTGGGGTGGCAGGAAGGGAGGTGCTGGGCACCGGCCGTGAAGAGCCAACCCCCTCCTGCTCAGAGCGACTGCGGCCTGTACGGAGCGAGGCCTGGGACCACGCAGGACTCAAGGCCTGGCCATGAACGCCACTGAGGCCTGGAGCCCCAGCCCAGATGTGGTGTCCTGGGACTACTCTGGGTCGGGCGCCCTGGAGGAGCTGGAGTTGTGCCCTTCCTGGGACCTGCCCTACGGCTACGCCTACATCCCTGCGCTCTACCTGGCGGCTTTCGCAGTGGGCCTGGTGGGCAACACCTTCGTGGTGTGGCTGCTGGCGGGGCGGCGTGGGCCGCGGCGGCTGGTGGACACCTTCGTGCTGCACCTGGCCGCCGCGGACCTGGGCTTCGTGTTCACCCTGCCACTGTGGGCGGCGGCGGCGGCGCGCGGAGGCCACTGGCCCTTCGGCGAAGGCCTCTGCAAGCTCAGCAGCTTCGCGCTGGCCTGCACGCGCTGCGCAGGCGCGCTACTGCTGGCCGGCATGAGCGTGGATCGCTACCTGGCCGTGGTGAAGCTGCTTGAGGCGCGGCCGCTGCGCACCCCGCGCTGCGTGCTGGCTGCGTGCTGCAGCGTTTGGACCGTGGCGCTTCTGGCCGGCCTGCCCTCCCTGGTCTACAGAAGGTTGCAGCCCCTTCCCGCGGGCCCCGGCAGCCAGTGCGGGGAGGAACCCTCCGACGTCTTCCAGGGCCTCAGCCTGCTGCTGCTGCTGCTCACCTTCGTGCTGCCCCTGGTCGTCACTCTCTTCTGCTACTGCCGAATCACGAGCCGCCTGCGCAGGCAGCCATACGTGGGCCGGGCCCGGAGGAACTCGCTGCGCATCATCTTCGCCATCGAGAGCACCTTCGTCGGCTCCTGGCTGCCTTTCAGCGCCCTGCGAGCCATCTTCCACCTGGCGCGTCTGGGGGCACTGCCACTTCCCTGTCCTCTGCTGCTGGCGCTGCGCTGGGGTCTCACCATCGCCACCTGCCTGGCTTTCGTCAACAGCTGCGCGAACCCGGTCATCTACCTCCTGCTCGACCGCTCGTTCCGCGCCCAGCTGCCGCACGGGGCCTGCGGGAGGGCCGGTCGCCAAGTGCGCAGGATCAGCTCGGCCTCCTCTCTGTCCAAGGACGACAGCTCAGTGTTCTGGGGCCGTCCCCACGCCGCGAACATGGCCCCGGCCTCCTGGTAGCTTCTCCAGGCGAGCGGAGATGGACAGCAGCGGAGCACTGACTGCACAGGGGGCCAGACTCGGCTCTCCCCACATGTTTTGGCCACAGCAGGCTGCTCCAGCCACCACTGTCTCCTGAGCTGCCCGCCTCCTGCATCAGCTTTCGCAGAACCTCATAGAGGTGATGGAATTCCTCCAAACCAGGCAGCTGAGGCCCGGTGTTCTTTCTGCCGGGTGGAGACCTGAGCTAATTTTTTCCAATCCAAGAAAGGTCCCATGAGATTCAGTAGACAGCAACTTGGAGACCCACGGATTTACCAGAGAGAAGGGAAGTGGGTTTCCTTCTCTGCCCCATTCAGAATAGCAGTCATCAGAATATCTAGTGCTGACGCCCAGCTCTCTGGTCATGTTTTCTCTGGTCCCCTAGAATAGCCTTTGCCTTCTGAGAAATTCCTTCTGCAAGTCAGACTGCCTGGCCCTCTCACTCTTAAATAAATAAATAATAAAATTCTAAAGAACATGAGAATTGACAGCCCTTTTGTACTCTATCATCTTTATGACTGTGTTGGCTGTATCATTAATCACCATCAATTCAGATTTTCATCTTAAAAGCTTACCAAGGGCTGAGGTTATAGCTCAGTGGTAGAGCACTTGCTTAGCATGTGTGAGGCACTGGGTTCGATTCTCAGAACCACATATAAAATAAATAAATAAAGGTTCATTGACAATTATATATAAAAACAAAAACAACAACAACAACAAAAAACTCACTAAAGATGTGGAACCAGCCCCAGTGTAAGCTACCCAATTTGTTTCTTCTGATAGACTCCCAGGGGTGACACCCTGCCCTGGTTTTTTGTATCTAGTGACCCTTCTCCCCTCCCTGGCAAAGCTGTAGGACTTACCCTGAAATCCATCTGGCCTTCCCTCTGGATAGAAGGATCTGACATCTCTCACCAGTTCTTCAGATTCCCCCTCATTTAGCCACGAACCCCGGATTTTTCAATAAACACTTTTGCCTAACCCTGGCTTGACGATGTGTCTTTACTTGAGCAGTGGGACTGAAATGAGTGTCAGGAGGCGGGTCACCAGTTCAGACAAAACTCAACTCAGTAGTTGAGAGTGACTTCAGGGGGACAAGTATTTTGTGTGCCGTCGGCACCGTGAGAGCTGGCTGCACTTGTGTGTGCAGTTATCCCTCAAGGGGGTGGCAAATTGTTTATTCTCATTATTTTTAAGGACAGTTCACATTTTGAAAGTAACAGAATGTTTAGAAACATGTAAGAGAATGTACCTGCCAGATCACTGTGCCTGTCATTTCAAAGATATGTGATTTTGATTTTCAAATGCATATTGGACCTTTTCTCCTACCCTTCAGGAGACCTCCCAGTAAAATGGTCTGGAATTAGCTGTTTACAGACTCTGATTTATCTTTTGAGGTTTCTAGAGGGTTTGGAAATTCTCTCTTTACGCTTTCGATGTAAGAAGATTTGGCTTAAAGAGATTTCCTCAGTGCAGGGAGAGGGACTCAGTGCTGCTGCTCTTCTTTGGAACCACGTCCTAGCCAGATCCCCATGAGGCCAGTCTTGAAGGACAGGATCTTGGAAAGTGGCACTCAGATCAGCTCTTCAGTGCCTGGTTGGGTCTGATGCCTGGCATTTTTTTCTCAGGCTGTTTAATCCCACCTCCAATACCACCCATTTAATACCATAACTGCATTCTCTTCAGCATTTGGGATATGTTGGGTTGGAGCAGGTTAAACATTACATCCCACCTTGACCTTACCTGTCTGCTGCTCCTAAGTCAAGCTGAAAAGTGCATCTATGCTTGCTTCTCCCATACAGCCTGCAAGGGAAGCCATGCAGCTGGGGTCACTGTGCCAGCAAGATGTATTACAGACACTTTCATGTTTGGGAGTTCGGTAATATCATGGCCCTTCCTATCCTCGCCGTTGCTCCCTGTGGTAAGAAGTTACTCTCTTTTCCAATAGCAGAGACCCCTGAACTTCCAGAACAAGGAAGCTGACTCTTATCTGGGAGTGTGTGGCCAGGTCTCAGCTTACAGAAAAGGCTCTATACTTGGCTGCTGGGATCAATCCCCACCTCTCTATCTGTCGAGTTCTCCCTAAACTATTGGTACACCCTGAAGACAGAGAGGAAGAAGACTCCTCCCTACCCCAGAGGGTTTTCGTCTCCCTGAAGCAGTAATTATTGAAACTCAGCATTTCCCTCCACCATAGAACTATGAGATGTGGGGAGAAATTCACTCCCTTTGCATAGATCACTGACGTGGTTTATTATGTGTTCCTTGGAAATGTGTTATATACCAACATGTTCTCCAGATGAGAATGAGCTCCTATTTCCCACTGGAAAAGATAAGGAACAAAAATGCAGGAACTGGATAAACGAGCACTCTCTCCTATTTTGCTGGTGGCAGTACAAAGAGATTCTTTCAGAAAGCAAATGACAGTCCTATCATCTCCCCCACGACTGTTGATGTTCTTTTACTCTGCCACTCCTCTAATGCAATAATAATACTAAATAGTAAAAAATTAATGCACTAAAGTAGAGAAGTTTCTTTTTAAAGACTTTAACCTTGGGGCTGGGGATGTGGCTCAAGCTGTAGCGTGCTCGCCTGGCATGTGTGCRGCCCGGGTTTGATTCTCAGCACCACATACAAACAAAGATGTTGTGTCTGCCGATAAATAATAAATATTAAAATTCTCTCTCTCTCTCTCCCTCTCTCACTCTCTCTTAAAAAAAAAAAAAGACTTTAACCTGGAAGGTAACAACCTAAATATCCAACAACAGTGGTGTATCTGCTGGGCACAGTGGCACACACCTATAATCCCAGGGGCTCAGGAGGATGAAGCAGGAGGATAGCGAGTTCAAAGCCAGCCTCAGCAAAGACGAGGTGCTAAGCAACTCAATGAGACCCGGTCTCTAATAAAATTCAAAATTGGGCTGGGGATGTGGCTCAGTGGTTGAGTGCTCCTGAGTTCAATCCCTGGTTTTTAGTTCAATCTAAAAACTAAAGAGTGCTATATCTTCATGAATATGATAGAGTATTATGTGAATTTAAAAATGTTATTTAAAGACAGGTTAGAAAATGTTGATGAATTAAAAGGAAAAAAAGGTAAAATTACATGTTAAACACATTCACACATGTCAAGTCTAGAGGTTATAAAATTGTTAACTCTGGTTTTGTTAAAGGAAAATATTACATGGTCCTTTTGATAAAAACTATCTTTTGATCTTTTCTTTCTCATCTCTCAAGTTTAAACATCATAAGTGTAGTTCTTTCCTCTTAGTGCTCAGTCATGGAATGCCATATGTTTTATTTTACTTATTTTTATTTTTTGGTACCAGGGATTGAACCCAGAGGTCACTGAGCCACCTCTCCTCCAGCCCTTTTTTTGTATTTTATTAGAGACGGGGTCTCACTGGGTTGCTTAGTGCCTTGCTACGTTTCTTTTTGAACTTGTGATCCTCTGCCTCAGCCTCCTGAGTTGCTGGGATTACAGGAGTGCCCCACTGCACCTGGCTTTATGTTTTATTTTTGTGTTGATTGTTCGTCTTGCAGCAGAACAGAGGCTCCATGAGTATGTGAAACAGTGGCTGCTTTGCATCAGGCCGAAGCCATCTGGTGAGATGATGTGATGGAATGTGAAGAGTAGAAGAAAGGAGGTGGCGTTTTATGTGTGGTATAACAGCTATGCCTCAGAGAAGGGCACAAAAGCAAGGCTACACGGAAATACAATAAATGTGATCATAATTATGTTAGAGTAAGAGCATTATGATCCTTTCCCCATTCATCTCTTTATTTTCAAATTTTTCTTTAAGCATTTTTTTTAGGGAAGGTACTGGGGGTTGAACCTAGGGGTGCTTAACCACTGAGCCACATCCCCAGCCCCTTTTTTCATATTTTATTGCAAACAGGGTCTCGCTAAGTTGCCGAGTGCTGGCTAAATTGCTGAGACTGGCTTTGCACTTGCGACCCCTCTGCCTCAGCCTCCTGAACCGCTGGGATTACAGGCCTGTGCCACCGCACCTGGCTCTATAAGCATTTTTTGAGTGCAGTTAACAAATAACAAAACTGCTAAAGCACAGGAGCCAGAGCAGTCCTGGGTCCGGGCTTCCACTCTGCCACCACAAGCCGCCTGTCCCTGCATATCCCTCAGCCTCCCGAACCTCCTTGTCTTCACCTGAAGAATCGGGTTGATAAAACCCACTCCAGCTCCCTCACAGATCAAAGATGCTCATGTTCTTGAAAGCACTGGGTAAGCGGAGGGGTTTTAGACAGACAACCCCGAGGTTGGCCTCAGGATGGGAGTGTCCCAGGCCACCCTTCCCCTCCTTGGAGGGGAGGCGCGGGGAGCTGCTGTAGGTTCTGAAAGGTCAGCATCTGGGCAAAGGCTGGCACGAGGGCTGTGTGGGTCTCTGCTTTGCTTCTTGTGACTAATTTTGAGCCTTCTCCTAACCTCTCTCGACCCCGTGGGTCTGTTCTCAGGGCACAGTGTGGGAACCACGGCCCTCGGGGCTGATGAGTGATCTGGGGAGTTCAGAAGGCTGGCAGGGTTCGGGGAACGGGAGGCACTTGGTGAAGTGTGATATGACTCAGCCCCCATCACCACGCTGGGGGCACCCTGGACACTCACGAGGACATCTTGCTTGTCAGAGCTCATCAGGACTAAGTCAGTGTCCTGTCCTGCCTTGGACGAGTGGCCTTCAGGAAGCTTCTTGTACCACCCACCCCCGCCAGCCTCAGTCAAATAGGGCACATGATGACAAGACCAGGAAATGCTGGTCTGAAATACAGGAAATACAGGTAACTGAAAGAAAAGGAGAAAGCCACGATATGAAATCACTCTTCCTCTTCATTATCTTCRCAATCAAAAAGTACTTATTGAGTTTGTGATTATATCTTCTGAGATTTGTATTTACATATGTCACAGGGCTGCAGAGCTAGAAGTTTGTTTTGTCCATTCTAAGGGTAAGGACACCGTGGGAAGCGGTGGCACACGCCTGTAATCTCAGCGATGAGGGAGCAGCATCTCAAGTTCAAGGTCAGCTA